TGTGGATGGGATGGAGCTCTGGTTTTGCAGGTTCTGTCAATGTGCTTTTGCGCTTTGTGTTGGATGCCTTCAAAAACGGACCGGAAGCAGCCGAGACGTTTCGGGTGTATTCTTTAATGTTGGACTCCAAAATGGCCCTTTGGGCTCCCTTTAAAAGCACAGGAAGCAGGGTACCCTCAAAAAGCGACAGCCCCCAATTTCCGATTTTCTCGGGAAATGGACGCCGTCCGCCATGTTTTTGTTTTTTCTTTCTTTTTCCGTTTTTTTTTTGAGAGTCAAAGCCAGACAATGTTTGGTTGCCCCCCCTAGTTTGCCACTTGGGTGACTTTGGCAAAATCATGGGGCCAAGAGCTGGGGTGTGTCTCAAAATCTGGGGAGGGACTGCCACATTTGTTCATCTTAGTAAACGGGCACACCCCGCGAAGTCCAAAAGGAACACATCCCACTTGTTTGCCTCTTTTCCTCGTCCAAATCCCACCTTTCAAACTGGTTGGGTGTGGAAGAGCCACAACATAATTCTGAGCTATTCTTTTGTCCGTGTGTTTCAGTGTCAGTTCTTGTGGGTACGAAAGTATTTGTTTGGAACAATTCAAGAGCAGAATTTTACCCGCGCATCATCCAACCTCAACACCACGATGGATCAGTGCACGAGCAACGGATTTTACCAGAATCGCAAATACACAAGCTGGCGCGTTTAACAAATCTTGGCCCATTGCTTTCTGGTCAAACCGGTTCGCGGTTTGACCATCCCTTTATCAAACTATAGGAAAGAAGGTCCACATCCATTCAGGGCCCCCTTTTGCTTCCATGTCCATGTTTTCTCTGAGCAAAAAGGACATTCTGAATAGGGAGTTGCAAACACATTTTAGGCCTCATCCAACTTTTCTTGTTTCCGGCACTAAAACGGAAATCCATTTTTCCGGTTTCGGGCTTGTCTCAAAATAGACGACCCAAAATGAAAGTACATGTGTGGTGTCCCTTTGGTTTCCCTTTGAAGCTCCCCAAACCCGGGCGCCAACTCCCAAAACAGCTGACGACTTGGTCGAGTTTCAGGCTGAAGCGCCTGGACGGGGCCATGCAGATGCTGGAGGCGCTGGAGGACATGTGCGGGCAGCAGCGCAAGGTGATCCAGGCGCAGCAGCAGGCCATCGTGGCCTTGAAGGAGGAAGGGGCCGCTCGGAGAACTCGGAGCTGGCGAGTGTGCGGTGCGGTGCGCCGGGGCAGGCGGCGCGTTTGCTTCTTTCTTGGTGTTTTTGGTGGGGGGGGGGGGGGGGAGTTTTTTTTTCCAATGCAAGGCGAGTTTGTGTTGTTGGGGAGTTGGCAGCTCGGCCTTCCAAGACCCCATGAATTTGGAGGGGGTAAGCCTCGAGGATGCTGGGGGGGATTTGGTTCTGAGGGTACCCTTTTTAGGGGTTGATACAAAGGGAGCCAATTGGAGAGAACACCATTTGTTGGGTACCCTATTTTACGACGCACCCACTTTTGTTGTTTGAGGGTATTTGTTTTGGGGGTCTGGAAGGAAAGCCAAAAAAGGGGCAACCACCTGCAGTGTGTGCTGGGTCCTCTGAAAATTGAGACATCTATTTCTTCAACATGTTTCAAGGGGTTGGCGAAGTTCTGGCTCAGACCTATCCTGGGTGCTGAATATAAGATTCTCAATTCATGTAAAGGAAACGAACTCGGGATGGCAGTTTGCTTCCGATCCAGACCTTCTTTTTTTAACACCCGAGTACAATTCTTGATTCAGACCCTCAATAGTCGCTATTGATCACTAATGGTCGCTATTTCAAGGCTATTTCCAGATGGCTTTTGGCGTATGGCTGTTTATGTTCCTTAAATGCAAGCTTGTAACGCAGTATGCACCCCATATACAAGTGGTACATAACCTCCATACCTTGAGAACCCATCCCTGGCGAAGCCCTTGGCTCGGCTGCAATGGCCCCCTGTGGCTATGCATTGGCTCCCAACGCTCCCATTTCCTCGATTCGAGGTAGATACAGAGACGGCGCCGGGTCCCGCAAATCCCGCAAGCCCCGCGGGCCCCAGCTCACCTGAGAGAGAAGAGGAGGAGGAAGAGGAAGGAGCCTTGACTGCTCGTGACTGCTCTTGGCATAGGGGTCCTTTTTGGTTGTTTTGGTAGAAAAATAGGTGGCCCTGGTTTACCTGGTAGTTTAATCATCTACCAGGGCCATATATGTCCCCTAAAAGGACACCTATGGCTCTTGGTTTATGGCGTTGTCCTGAACTGTTTGGCAGGTTTTTGTTGTGCTGTGTTTCACGGACATTCACGGACCTCCAAGGAGGGCCATAAATGGATACGCATAGGACAAGCCAAGCAAAAGCCCTTAGTATGGCCGTATTTCGGGGTTAATAGGTGATACCCCCATACCCCAGGTTCTTCCCTTAACCAATGCACATGTTGCTTGATTGCTAAGTAGGCTGATGTTTGGTTTGTCCATGGAATGTGCAGTTCAGTGGTTCCTTGGTTTTGTGCTTATGGTTGCTTCATTTTTGGATGTTTAGTTTCTGGCTCTTCAGTTCTATGTGTGCCTAGTGGGGCTGTGAATATCATGTAGCTGTTTGGGGCTGGCAGGGGCCTTGGATGAACTTCTGGGTTGTTGCTTGCCGTGCTTTGGTCAACGTCCGGTAGCTTTACGTTTCTATACCTGGTTGGCAGGTTTGAAGCGAAACGTACTGCAACCATTGCTTGCCCAAACCTGAGCCCCGGGCAGAAATAGCTGTAATCAATCGGGTTGTTGCTTTGCTTTTTGTTTTTTTGCTCCTGGTTACACTCCCTGGTTCCCTTGTCTTCGAGGAGGACGGGGGTTTGGATCTGGATTGATTGCACCTTATGTCTTGGTTTCACCAAGGGAAACCACGCATGGACTTTTTTATTTGTTCCGGACCCGAAATTAGCGATGAACCCTGTGAATGAGTTAAACCACCTGCCACAGCATCGGGCGGATGCGAGGAGAGGATGGCGACGTCAGCGAGGAGAAGCTGATGGCACTGCTAGCGCAAGCAGATCAGATGGAGAGGGCCCTGAAGCAGATGGAAGCCTTAGGCATGAGAATCGACCGAGTCGACCCCCCCCCCCCCGAAACCCTCCCCTGCGGAAAAAAACGGAGAAGAAAAAAAAGATGGCGGCGGTCCCTAAAAAAAAACAGCTACAGGAAAATACTTACTGCAAAAGTGCCAAGCACCCAGCAACAACCAAGGGATTGTTTCCTGTAGCTGTAGAGTTTCCTGGACCAAATGGAGCTGGCTATGACCGATGGTTCACTGTTGGTTGTCTGTGTGCCCCTTTTGGTTGGCCCAGAGGTGTTCCCTTTGGACATTCCGAGTGAAAGCAACCCCGAAAGGGTATTATGAGCAAGCCTGTTGTTGTGATGTTCATTCAAAGCAAAGGCCGGTTGTATGACCCATGTGAGTTTGCTTTTGGGGGGAACCCCAAAGTCTCGTGTCTCACGGTCTTGTCTTAAAACCTCGCTCCCTGGGTTCCCGGACTTTAAACTAGGGTTGTGGGATCACGGGGCTTATCCCCACTTCTGTGATAAAGGGGAGTCTCCCCTTTGTATGGGGGGGTAGTCTTTCGGAAGCCCTTCCTGTTGTAATTATCACAGAAGTGGATTCCATTTCCCACAGCCCTCCTTCAAACTGCTTGGGAAGATGGTTTTACCAAGAGACAAGCAGTTCCCAGCGCGCTTGCTTCAGCCAACCCACGGAAGGCGGAAACGCCTGCCAAAAGGAGGATGTCACCGGTCGCTTGTGGTTTGAAATACTTTGAGACCCAAAAAGGGTACCTTAAGTTGAATTCGTTTAACTTTGCCTCCGGCTCATTCCACGGACTTCTGCGGTTGCCAGAATGAGCGGTGACATGTCCTTCGATTTTGATTGAAATAGGTTGGAAGTTGATGACTGGCAAATGTTTGATTTGGATTGGCATATGCTATAACAACTCTCATGATATATTTATTGTATATATATATATATATATATTGATTTATGTTTGCTTTGGAGTGGGAGGGCCGGGAGTGGGGAGTTGGGGAAATTTGGGGAATGGGGAGTGTGGATTGAGGAGCGTGGAGTGTGGAGTGTGGAGTGTGTTGTTGGTGTCGTGTGGCATGTTGTGCGTTGTGCGTGTGGTTCGTGGTGTTTGGTGTCTGGTGTGTGTGTGTGTGGGTGGGTGCGGGTGAATGAGTGTAGGTGGGTTGCTTGGTGGGTGGGTGTGCGTTTGTGCTTGTGTGCGTGCGTGTGTCCGTGCGTGCGTCCGTCCAAAGACTGATTAGTGGGGAGTGGGGAGTGGGGAGTGGGGAGTGGGGAGTGGGGAGTGTGGAGCGTGTTTTTGTTTTGCGTGTGTGTGTGTGTGTGTGTGGAGCGTGGAGTGTGGAGCGTGGGGTGTGGAGTGTGGAGTGGGAGACCAGAAGCCCATCCAATACCCAAAGAAAACCCACAGACAAAACCCAGCCACACCCAGACAAAACGCTCCCAAAACCATACAACACCCAAACAAAGCACACGCGCAAACCCACCGAAAACCCACATAAAACCGCCTCAACACCCGCATAAGACCCAGACAAGACCCACAGAAAACTGACAAAACCCACACACACACACACAAACCCACCAAACCACACAACCCAGCCATTCCCGCACCGAAACTCCCTCCGCACTGGCCCGGGCGACCCGGGCGGGATTGGAGCCTGCTAATTGAACATGAGTGAGCGTCACAAAATCGCCACCCGGTGCACGCCGTCCCCCCCCCCCCTCGTCGCACGCGCGCGCGCCTCTGTGGGGGATTGGGGGAAGCTTCCAACCACGCCGGACAGAAGTCGGCCTTAAGGGTCTTTAAAAGAGCAGTTTTTCTCCTTAGGGCAACCAGCAATAGGCTGTTGCACTGACGAGGTGTTTTTTCATTTGGAGCCATTTTTGGGTGAGCATCTACATGGAGCCCAAAACGCCTCCTATGTAGAGGAATCACCTTTTGGATGACTCGATGACCCCTTTTCTGAGATCCATGGCAAATTCTTGGTACGCGAATTGTTTTCAGAACGCCCATCCCCGCCATCCCACTCCGTCAGGGGCAGGATTGGGGCCGGAGAGGCCAGAGGGCGGCTCGGTCCGCAGATTATTTCCACAAGTTGGTGTGTCAGTGTGTGTGTGTGTGTGCGATTGTTTGTTTGTTTGTTTGGTTCCTTGTTTGCTGTGTGTTTGTATGTTTATTGGTTCACTTGTTGTTTGTGTGTTTGTGTGTGTGTGTGTTTGTAAATGTATTTGTTTGTTTGTTTGTTTGCTTGCTTTGTTTTGTTGGTTTTGTTTTGTTTGTTTGTTTGTGTGTTTTGTTTGTTTGTTTGTTTGTTTAGCGTGTTTGTTTGTTTGTTTGTTTGTTTGTTTGTTTGTTTGTTTGTTTGTTTAGCGTGTTTGTTTGTTTGTTTGTTTGTGTGTTTTGTTTTTGTGTTTGTTTGTTTGCTTGCCGGTTTGTTTGTTTGTTTGTTTGCTTGCTTGCTTGCTTGCTTGCTTGTGTGTGTGTGTTTGTGTGTGTGTGTGTTTGTGTGTGTGTGTTTGTGTGTTTGGTTTGTTGTGTTGTGTTGTGTTGTGTTGCGTTGTTTGTTTGTTTGTTTGTTGTGCTGTGCTGTGCTGTGCTGTGCTGTGCTGTGCTGTGTTGTGTTGTGTTGTGTTGTGTTGTGTTGTGTTGTGTTGTGTTGTGTTGTGTGTTTGTTTGTTTGTTTGTTTGTTTGTTTGTTTGTTTGTTTGTTTGTTTGTTTGTTTGTTTGTTTGTTTGTTTGTGTGTTTTGTTTTTTGTTTGTTTGTTTGCTTGCCGGTTTGTTTGTTTGTTTTTGTGATTGTGTGTTTGTGTCAAATATATACGTTTCCCCCGCCTATGTCATGATACACCTGGCACTTTGGTGGCTCAAGCTTGCACCAGAGAAAAGGTGCCGCGCCACTTCACATACTTCGGTTTGTGTTTGGTGAGACTTTAGAGTCCTTTGGGGTTTTTCATGGTAGCAGAGCACTGGAACTTTCCAGAGTGTCGGAAGAACTTTGGGGCTTGCGCCATGGACATAGGCGCATTTGGAGACGACACTGGGGACATGGCTGGCAGACTTAGGTTGCCAATGCCATCCACTTACAATGGTTCGCCATCGGAGTGGGAAGGGTGGTCTTGGAACTTCAAAGCATACATTTCAATGTTTGAGACTTCTGCAATTGGGGTACTTGACAGGGTTGAAGGAAGAGCTGAGCCAATTCAGGATGAAGACTTGGCAATCACTTTGGACACTGATGATCCAGATGAGGAAGCATCGAGAAAGGCGGTGACGTTCAGCCGAAAGCTGAACTATGCCAGCGAACCTCACTACAAGACACTGCGAGGCTTATAGTGAGGCAGAACACTGATGGTAACGGCTTTGAGACTTGGAGGCGGCTTTACCAGGATGCCACAAGGCATGTCTCACTTTTAACGCAGCTCCTAGACTTCAAGTTTCACCCAGCAACTTTTGAAGCTGACTTTAACAACTGGGAAACCATTAAAGTCAAGTATGAGCGACAGACTGGAACCGAACTTCCCGATAGCGTGTTAGTGGCGACTTTGCTGAACAAGACCACTGGAGCTTTGCAGCAGCACTTGCGACTCAATGCAAGGTCACTTAATACCTACACGCAAATCAAAGGCGTCATAGTGGAGCACTTTCGTTCGCGACACATCCTCACTTCGAACAACAACAACGGAACTCCACTGGAACTTTCACGCAAAGGCAAAAGGCAAGACCGGCAAAGGAAAGGACTTGGAGAAAGGAATCGCCAACGAGAAAGGCAAAGGTAAGAACTTAGGTTCCCAACTTTGCTGGACTTGTGGTAGACCAGGTCACTTGGCTAACGCTTGTCCCAACAGGAGAGTGAACGCACTTGAAGAAACAGAGGCGCTTCAGGATTCGCCCTGGTTGGCAGAGGAATCGGACAACTTAAGTGCTTCGACGACAACGTGTACGAGGACCCTTGGGTTGCTTGGGACACTTGGAGCGTGAACGCACTTTGGGGAGATGATGCTTGGTGGCATGATGCTTGGACTTGGGAGTCGGACACTTGGGGTTGGTCACAGCCCTAGGCTACTCCCACTTTCGACAGTAGTGATGCAGCAAAGAACTTGACGAAGAAATCTTCAGGAGCAGATGCTTCGGCTTCTGGCTCACTGGGAGTTGCTGCAGTCACTTTCCAAAGCCTAAGGGTAAACCTGTTCCGAAAGCATCTGCGGCTTCCAACTTTTATGTTGGCTGCCATTGTGCTCGGAAACTTTGGCAGAGGTCACTTGGACTTGGGCTTGACAGTGTCAAGACAGATGACATGATGACTGGCTTGGTCGACTTTGACTTGAAAGTTTGCGCAGCAGGTGCTCAGCCTGTTGACTTTGCGTTCACTGGTGCGCGACTAGTTTTGCCGGGATTTGGCCTGAACGCACACAGGACACCACGATCGAAATAGCAAGCGCGTCAAGCTGTGTTCCTGGCGTTCCAAGTCAGTCGGCTCTGTTGGAACAGGAAGTTCTTGAGGCCGTTGCGCCAGCAAGTCACCAGGGTTTTCAGGTTCTAGTCCAACTTGACTTCTCGTTCTTGTCGGACCGCAGATCACTTAATGCGCTTGATGTGTTGTCTGGATTAGGACTTGCCGCGGTAATCCCGACAAAGGGTCATAGCACTTACACTCAGGCTGAACTTCGACATTTCATCCTTGAGATTGGACGCACTTTCGGAGTACTCCAGCGCGACCTAAAGCCAGCGCTCAAGGCACTTGCTGAGACAGTGACTTCTGAGCTTGGTGGCTTGACCGTGCGCACTTCACCCACAGGATGGAAGCAGGCCCAAGCTCCATCGGGAATGCGCAGACCACTTTGTACGCTCAGGCTCGCGCTCTGAAGCTTGATTTGAAGTCAAGGTACAAGGTCGAACTGTCAGTTCATGATTCATGATCCCCTGTATACTTGGCTCATCAAGCATGCTCAATGGCCTAGGTTCCCCAGTACCGCCCTTTCGCCCGTTGGTTGGGGTATTTTGCAACTCGGGATTCCACATCACGCTGGAGAGCCCGGCTGGGAGCAAAAATGGAGTCGCAAGTTGGCGCACCGTTTGGCTGTGTTGGTTGGTTCGTGGGCTGGCATTGTTGTCTTGGTCTTGCTGCTTGTTTGGCTTGAAACGTATGATTTGCATTGGCCCATGCGTTTGTTATATAATTTGCGAACCGTCCGATTTGTGCTTCTCCTTTCGGAGCTGTAACCCCGCGCAAAGGGACTGACCAGTCCTGAATGTTTCCTTTGTGCTTTTATTCGTGGAAGGGGCGCCAGAGCCAGGCCCTGGGGGCTAGCTCGGGTTACCCTGATCGTAGAGCTTCTCATTTTGATCTGGGGCGACCAAGGTTCGTGTTAAGCTCGGCTCCCTTTTGCTTCTTATTTGATATGTTGGTTTGGCCGTCCAGCAACTGCTTGCAAAGTCTGAGCGCTGCATACTTTGTTGTCTGAATAAACTTCGAGCCCTTGAGCCTTGTTGCAGCACAAAAGTCACACCAGTGATGCAAAAGCGCCGCAAACGCAAATGATGCCAGCATGGAGATTGTCACTTCCCTGCAACGCGCGCTTTGCACCAACAATACGTGACACCTTTTCTGCCCTACTTTTGCGCAAAGCGCTTTTGGGCACACGATGTGCATCTGCCCACCGGGGATAAACCTCTTTTTTGTAAAAAACAACAGGATAAGTTAAAGCGAGCCAACATTGCGCGACAGCTCGTAAACTTCAGGATTTCCGGCAAAGCTTCCTTCTTCCGCGAGCCAGTTATCTACCTCAGCATCCTGCTGTGGCAACCCGTGAGCAGAGGGGGTGAACCCGTGGGGAGTGACAAAGTAGCCGGGGTTGGTCAGGAAGCCTAGGACGGCATCTTCTACGCTTTGCATTTTCCATCAGATGGTAGCCGACCAGACTTTGGGGTTGCAATTTGGCTCTGAGGCCCACCACAAGGAAAGGGCCTCCCCCAAGTCACAGGGAGCGCACTTCAATCAGACTTTCTTCAAAGCATTGCGTTCTGATGTTTTTCTTCAGGGGTGATGTACTTGGGCTGCCTTCAACCTGGCCTGGCTTATGCGTGTGGCAAGGCCAGATGGATGTGGGTTTCCTTGTGAGGGGGCAATAGCCGCGATTGCTAATGAAGTTCAGCCATTTCCCTCCAGGAGTCTCTGCCCATGCCAAGAAGCCTGCCTTACGCAGTTTGGACTTCCGAGCGTTTGATCCATGTGGGCTGTTTTCCCAAGGTTGCCCATGGGTTTCCCCTGACTTTCCACGGTTTCCCAAGCATCTGCCGTGGTTTTCCAGAGGTGCGTGGGGCTAATTAGTGGGGCCCATTGATGTCAGAAGTTGCGGGCCTACTGAAATCGCTGAGATCGATGAAGGCCCTTCAGATCAAGTATGAGGCAGCCAAGAGGAAGGCTGGAGAAATAGAGGATTTGGAACCGGTTGCTCTCCTGGACGGAGGAGCAACGCATGCCCTGAGGCAAGCCAGACCGCATGAGAAGAACAACCTCACTGCGGTGGAAGTGGAGTTGGCCTGCGGCCGGCTTTATTGTTGACTTCGTCACGGGTGCCCGGTCATGAAACGGTCAGCGGCGATGAAGTTGATGGATTTCCTGGACGCCCCTGATGGGCACGCTGCGGTGACTACGGATCGTGAATGGTGGCTGCAGTTCCCACATCTTCCGGACGAGGTGTTGGAGTTCATGGTCAGAGTAGAGGAACATCCCCAGGAAGGTTCGATCCGAACCCCATCACAACCCCTAATTTAGATCTCAACCCTGGTTCTTGCAGCGGGTAAACGGGAAGCCACCTCGAAACCACTTGGCTTCAAACCACCAAGTAGGTCACCCCTTCTGGTTAAAGTGCTTTGGGCCGGTGAGCGCTAGACCTCCAGCAGTGGCTTGTTTATCGGTTTTGTTGGGCAGGGTTGCCTTTTGCCCACCAAAA